GAATTTTTGAATATTTGCTTTGGTAATAGAAAAAACAACAATTTTGAAAATTTTTAATTCAATATTTTGATTAAAAAAAAATTTGCCCCAAATTTTGTACCTCAAAACAATTCGCCCTGACTGCAACTTTGACATATCAAGTTTCCAAAAAAGTTGCTTTGTTGTAATTTTCGCCTATGTTGCTACCTGTTATTTCTACCATGGTCCAGACAGTTCAATTCCATGGTAAAACTGCCGAATAGCTTTAATGCGCGTCTTCCAATCATTGATTTTGAAAATATTATGTTTCTGCTTTTCGAAACAATAAACACATACAGAAAATTGGCAAAAATCGGGCACACTTGGAAAAAAATTGTAATCACCTGATAGCTTTACCTTACCTTATATGCATATAACTTCATAACCTGGTATATTATATTGTTTTTATTACTTGCTTATATCTTACTATTATTTATTTATTGACAATTTATTAATTTCGTATCGAAACCATCAAAGTATGAATGTTCAAGTATATCCTTTGCAGATATACGATGAACAGGGTCATAAATGAGCATTTTTTGAATTAAATCAATACCGTCGTTGTTCAAATTTTTCAGTTGATTGGGCAATTGATTGGTTGACCAACAAGGAAATGTATTCTTATAGTCAGGAAGTGATGTTACGCCAGGCCATATTTCCTCAGTTGGGGTCTTCAATATTCTGTTAGATATGTACATTCTATAATCAATTTCATTTCGGGACAAAATGTAAAATTACCTGAACATTCTAAATAGTTGATCGATTTCCGAATCTCCTTGGAAAAGTGGTTTTCTGGTTGCCATTTCCGCAAATATGCATCCAATTGACCATATGTCTACGGGACACGAATACCGCGGAAACCCTAGCAGAACTTCAGGTGCACGATACCATAGTGTTACAATTTCATGCGTATATATACGGACTGGTATTCCAAAAGATCGTCCAAGCCCAAAATCGGCCACTTTAATTATTCCGTTTTTATCAATTAGCAAATTTTGTGGTTTTAAATCGCGATGCAATACTCTTCTTCGGTGGCAAAAGAGTATTGCACTCGTTATTTGATACAGGTAGCTTCGTACCAGATCGCTGTCTAATGGTTTTTCAGGAGGTAAAGAATCCATATATTTTTTCAAGTCCATAGATAAAAATTCAATATATATATATATATATATATATATATATATATATATATATATATATATATATATATATATATATATATATATATATATATATATATATCATGACGAGTGATTTCTCTCAATGGCACAAATATATATATATATATAGAACCATGGTACAATAAGCAGGTCTTCCAATCATTGATTTTGAAAATATTATGTTTCTACTTTTCAAAACAATAAACACATACAGAAAATTGGCAAAAATCGGGCACACTTGGAAAAAAATTGTAATCACCTGATAGCTTTACCTTACCTTATATGCATATAACTTCATAACCTGGTATATTATATTGTTTTTATTACTTGCTTATATCTTACTATTATTTATTAATTGACAATTTATTAATTTCGTATCGAAACCATCAAAGTATGAATGTTCAAGTATATCCTTTGCAGATATACGATGAGCAGGGTCATAAATGAGCATTTTTTGAATTAAATCAATACCGTCGTTGTTCAAATTTTTCAGTTGATTGGGCAATTGATTGGTTGACCAACAAGGAAATGTATTCTTATAGTCAGGAAGTGATGTTACGCCAGGCCATATTTCCTCAGTTGGGGTCTTCAATATTCTGTTAGATATGTACATTCTATAATCAATTTCATTTCGGGACAAAATGTAAAATTACCTGAACATTCTAAATAGTTGATCGATTTCCGAATCTCCTTGGAAAAGTGGTTTTCTGGTTGCCATTTCCGCAAATATGCATCCAATTGACCATATGTCTACGGGACACGAATACCGCGGAGACCCTAGCAGAACTTCAGGTGCACGATACCATAGTGTTACAATTTCATGCGTATATATACGGACTGGTATTCCAAAAGATCGTCCAAGCCCAAAATCGGCCACTTTAATTATTCCGTTTTTATCAATTAGCAAATTTTGTGGTTTTAAATCGCGATGCAATACTCTTCTTCGGTGGCAAAAGAGTATTGCACTCGTTATTTGATACAGGTAGCTTCGTACCAGATCGCTGTCTAATGGTTTTTCAGGAGGTAAAGAATCCATATATTTTTTCAAGTCCATAGATAAAAATTCAAAAAAAAAAAAAAAATAAAAAAATATATATATATATATATATATATATATATATATATATATATATATATATCATGACGAGTGATTTCTCTCAATGGCACAAATATATATATATAGAACCATGGTACAATAAGCAGGTCGAAATACAATTTGATTTCGATTTTCTTTCAAAAATATGGTCTAGACAGTTCAATTCCATGGTAAAACTGCCGAATAGCTTTAATGCGCGTCTTCCAATCATTGATTTTGAAAATATTATGTTTCTACTTTTCAAAACAATAAACACATACAGAAAATTGCCAAAAATCGGGCACACTTGGAAAAAAATTGTAATCAACTGATAGCTTTACCTTACCTTATATGCATATAACTTCATAACCTGGTATATTATATTGTTTTTATTACTTGCTTATATCTTACTATTATTTATTTATTGACAATTTATTAATTTCGTATCGAAACCATCAAAGTATGAATGTTCAAGTATATCCTTTGCAGATATACGATGAACAGGGTCATAAATGAGCATTTTTTGAATTAAATCAATACCGTCGTTGTTCAAATTTTTCAGTTGATTGGGCAATTGATTGGTTGACCAACAAGGAAATGTATTCTTATAGTCAGGAAGTGATGTTACGCCAGGCCATATTTCCTCAGTTGGGGTCTTCAATATTCTGTTAGATATGTACATTCTATAATCAATTTCATTTCGGAACAAAATGTAAAATTACCTGAACATTCTAAATAGTTGATCGATTTCCGAATCTCCTTGGAAAAGTGGTTTTCTGGTTGCCATTTCCGCAAATATGCATCCAATTGACCATATGTCTACGGGACACGAATACCGCGGAGACCCTAGCAGAACTTCAGGTGCACGATACCATAGTGTTACAATTTCATGCGTATATATACGGACTGGTATTCCAAAAGATCGTCCAAGCCCAAAATCGGCCATTTTAATTATTCCGTTTTTATCAATTAGCAAATTTTGTGGTTTTAAATCGCGATGCAATACTATTCTTCGGTGGCAAAAGAGTATTGCACTCGTTATTTGATACAGGTAGCTTCGTACCAGATCGCTGTCTAATGGTTTTTCAGGAGGTAAAGAATCCATATATTTTTTCAAGTCCATAGATAAAAATTAAAAAAAAAAAAAAAAAATATATATATATATATATATATATATATATATATATATATATATATATATATATATATAGATGTATATATATCATGACGAGTGATTTCTCTCAATGACACAAATATATATATATAGAACCATGGTACAATAAGCAGGTCGAAATACAATTTGATTTCGATTTTCTTTCAAAAATATGGTCTAGACCATGGTAGAATTACAAGGTAACCCTTTCAGGCCACCTGGTATCAATTTGATATGTCAAAAAATTGTTGTAATTTGAATTCGCCTTCATTTACACATAAGAAAATTGTTTCATGATTTCAAACTTTAACAATGCTATTGATAGAAAATCGAGATTTTACGTTTTTATAGAGTATGGGGGAAAAAGTGTATATTCAACATATGGTAGGCATAGGTAATATGGAGATCTAAAATTCGTGGATATTTGAAATAAGTGAAACAGGGAATCAATTTCATATAGGAGATAAACCGATACATGGAATTTCATAATCTTATTTGTACGGATTTTCAACTATGTTATACACTATGGGGCTTCAAAAGTGAAAGGTGAATGATTCCAAAGCATATTGGATTGGTTTGGGGAACAAAACATTGGCAATTTTTGGGGTGTGAGTAAATATTGAGATAATTTTTTTATTTCAATGTATTAAAGTTATCTATACATAAAAGACTTCCTGTCTGCTATATATTTCATAGCTAAGCAAATAATATGCGTGGACTCACAGTAGACTCAGTCCCTGTATCTTCTGCAATCTTTGATCCAAATCTTAAGTAAGCCAGAGGAGTAAATATACCCTAAAGTACCTTTTAGGTAGCATGTCACTACAGCGAGAAAGCTGACGATGTAGCAAAAGAAAAAAGGGTACACCCAACCAGAACCACCACAAAACCAAATTTTAAAGCATCAAAACTAATTTTCCGTATATTTTCTTGTAAAGAACATTATCGCTGTTGAATATGAAATCAACGTTGCCAACGTTACCAAGGCTGCATGCTGTGTTAGGATGATGAAGAGATAACAACGATTCGACATCTATTATCGCAAATGTCCTTCGTTGGCGCGCAGGAGACTATGCATTATGGGCGATCACTCCATTTCCACTCTCTGTGATTTTCAAAAATGTTGTATTGAACGTGCTATTATCAAACCAAGATGCAGCGGCTTCAGCATTACTTTCAATCGAAGTTGGAATTTTTGAATATTTGCTTTGGTAATAGAAAAAACAACAATTTTGAAAATTTTTAATTCAATATTTTGATTAAAAAAAAATTTGCCCCAAATTTTGTACCTCAAAACAATTCGCCCTGACTACAACTTTGACATATCAAGTTTCCAAAAAAGTTGCTTTGTTATAATTTTCGCCTATGTTGCTACCTGTTATTTCTACCATGGTCCAGACAGTTCAATTCCATGGTAAAACTGCCGAATAGCTTTAATGCGCGTCTTCCAATCATTGATTTTGAAAATATTATGTTTCTGCTTTTCGAAACAATAAACACATACAGAAAATTGGCAAAAATCGGGCACACTTGGAAAAAAATTGTAATCACCTGATAGCTTTACCTTACCTTATATGCATATAACTTCATAACCTGGTATATTATATTGTTTTTATTACTTGCTTATATCTTACTATTATTTATTTATTGACAATTTATTAATTTCGTATCGAAACCATCAAAGTATGAATGTTCAAGTATATCCTTTGCAGATATACGATGAACAGGGTCATAAATGAGCATTTTTTGAATTAAATCAATACCGTCGTTGTTCAAATTTTTCAGTTGATTGGGCAATTGATTGGTTGACCAACAAGGAAATGTATTCTTATAGTCAGGAAGTGATGTTACGCCAGGCCATATTTCCTCAGTTGGGGTCTTCAATATTCTGTTAGATATGTACATTCTATAATCAATTTCATTTCGGAACAAAATGTAAAATTACCTGAACATTCTAAATAGTTGATCGATTTCCGAATCTCCTTGGAAAAGTGGTTTTCTGGTTGCCATTTCCGCAAATATGCATCCAATTGACCATATGTCTACGGGACACGAATACCGCGGAGACCCTAGCAGAACTTCAAGTGCACGATACCATAGTGTTACAATTTCATGCGTATATATACGGACTGGTATTCCAAAAGATCGTCCAAGCCCAAAATCGGCCACTTTAATTATTCCGTTTTTATCAATTAGCAAATTTTGTGGTTTTAAATCGCGATGCAATACTCTTCTTCGGTGGCAAAAGAGTATTGCACTCGTTATTTGATACAGGTAGCTTCGTACCAGATCGCTGTCTAATGGTTTTTCAGGAGGTAAAGAATCCATATATTTTTTCAAGTCCATAGATAAAAATTCAATATATATATATATATATATATATATATATATATATATATATATATATATATATATATATATATATATATATATATATATATATATATATATATATATATATATATATATATATATATATATATATATATATATATATATATATATATATATATATATATATATATATATATATATATATATATATATATATATCATGACGAGTGATTTCTCTCAATGGCACAAATATATATATATAGAACCATGGTACAATAAGCAGGTCGAAATACAATTTGATTTCGATTTTCTTTCAATAATATGGTCTAGACAGTTCAATTCCATGGTAAAACTGCCGAATAGCTTTAATGCGCGTCTTCCAATCATTGATTTTGAAAATATTATGTTTCTACTTTTCAAAACAATAAACACATACAGAAAATTGGCAAAAATCGGGCACACTTGGAAAAAAATTGTAATCACCTGATAGCTTTACCTTACCTTATATGCATATAACTTCATAACCTGGTATATTATATTGTTTTTATTACTTGCTTATATCTTACTATTATTTATTTATTGACAATTTATTAATTTCGTATCGAAACCATCAAAGTATGAATGTTCAAGTATATCCTTTGCAGATATACGATGAGCAGGGTCATAAATGAGCATTTTTTGAATTAAATCAATACCGTCGTTGTTCAAATTTTTCAGTTGATTGGGCAATTGATTGGTTGACCAACAAGGAAATGTATTCTTATAGTCAGGAAGTGATGTTACGCCAGGCCATATTTCCTCAGTTGGGGTCTTCAATATTCTGTTAGATATGTACATTCTATAATCAATTTCATTTCGGGACAAAATGTAAAATTACCTGAACATTCTAAATAGTTGATCGATTTCCGAATCTCCTTGGAAAAGTGGTTTTCTGGTTGCCATTTCCGCAAATATGCATCCAATTGACCATATGTCTACGGGACACGAATACCGCGGAGACCCTAGCAGAACTTCAGGTGCACGATACCAGTGTTACAATTTCATGCGTATATATACGGACTGGTATTCCAAAAGATCGTCCAAGCCCAAAATCGGCCACTTTAATTATTCCGTTTTTATCAATTAGCAAATTTTGTGGTTTTAAATCGCGATGCAATACTCTTCTTCGGTGGCAAAAGAGTATTGCACTCGTTATTTGATACAGGTAGCTTCGTACCAGATCGCTGT